CGGTTAGTAGGGTGCCGTGCACAAGTCAGTTGGAGGTACCCCCTCGCAATTTCGCACGTGCAAGGCCCACCCTCTCGCTCGCTCCGTTAGTCGCCCCAAAAGGCGTTATGCTGGTACAGGTAAATCATATTCTAACCGTCCCTATCCCAAGCATAGGCGGCGGCCGATTCCTGGTTTGCGCAATATGAGTGCCATCGTTAGACAATACGGTCAAAAGGGTTGAAGCTGCATGACTCCCCTGTGGTAAGAACTAAGAAGCAACATATTTTTGGACAAAATAAAGCAATGATAACTAAATTGAGGTTACTAAAACGACTCTGATCACAAAAGTAGTTACTAGGAAGGCTTTCTAATCCATTTTTAACCGAAGGTTTGTTGTCAATAGTTAAAACACTATTCTTTAGAATTGTGTTTTTCTATTGAAAAACAAATCTGAGTTCCCTGACAATTTGGCAAAAGCTGCCTGAGATCAGTACAACTTGATGCTCGAGAAAACGGCTGTTCCAAAAATTCTGATTTTTTCAGGATTTCTAGTGGGCCAGGTGATCTACGTTCTGGTATGGGTCTCCCCTCCGCGGACCATCTGGTGCACGTGCCACGTGACTTTGAAAATTCCCGTGTTAAGCCAATGGGCAAAATGAAAAAATGCGTCCCACGCCAGATTGCTCGAAAACGATCCAAACGACCCCCCATTTTCTTCCATGCGGATCAACCACCATTCGGTGCACTACCCATGGGTATGTCGCAAAGTGGCCGGAAAAGTCCAGAACCACGTGCCACGTGCCGTTGAAAATGACCCTGCACCCCGGAAATTGGGACTTTTGGTCATTTCGGCGCACCCATGATGCATACTATGGCGTGGGTGACCAAACAATGGGTGTCATCCGGTCGGCAACTGTTTGAGGTGTCGTCCATTGGGTCAAAGTGGTATTTTCAAACTTTTGGGATCCACCATTCTGGGGATTCTTTTTGACAATATACTTACGTTTCTTGGCGCAATATTCATTCCACGCAGCCGGTCGTCAATACGTTAGGTGACCCAAATGACGATTGACCTGAAGGAAGTTGGGGGCGAGGAACACGCACGTGCCATCCGTTTTTTAATCGGGCGCTTTCATCTCGGAGATTTTTGCAGATATCTTTTTGATCAGTGAAAATGACCAACCTAGCGGTATGCCAGTCGTTGATAAATTATTATCTTGCTGCGGCCGGGCGCTTATTTGCGGTGTTTGCGTTTGGCGGCTGGCGGGCGACTTAAGTCGTTTTCGGTTAGCAGTTAGCGTCGGTGCGGTGCGGGCGGTTTTATTTTTTTTCGGCGTTTCGGCGTTTTTTTTTGTGGTTTGCGGCGGTCGGGCGATTTTTTTTCGCCGTTTGCGTTGGCGTTTCGGGCGTGCGTTTTGCACGTTTTGCGGTGTTTACGTTTTGCGGCGGGCGGGCGTTTTGTGCTTTTTTGCGGTGTTTGTCTTTTGCGGCGGGCGGGCGGGCGGACGGGCGATGCGAGCGGTTTTCTTTTTTGCGTCGTTTGCGGTGTTAAATTTGTTTGCGGTTGGCGGCCGCTTTTTCGTTGTTTTTTTTCTGGTGTTTGCTTTTGGCGGCGGGTGGGCGGGCGATTTTTTGGCGTTTTCGGTTGGCGGTTAGCGGGCGTGCGATGCGGCCGGTTTTATTGTTTTGCGGCGTTTTTGCGTTTTTTTATTTGCGGTTTGCGGCGGGCGGGCGTTTGTTTATTTTTTGTGACCTTTGCGTTGGCGTTTCGGGCGTGCGTTTTGCGGTGTTTGCGTTTTGCGGCGGGCGGGCGTTTTTCACAATTCAAAGTCCAAACCTTCGGGCCACAGCGCTCCTCGAAAAGCGCTGCCCTCGTATTTAGTTCCTCGTTATAGGCGTAAGAAGTGTAAGTCTGAACGGGGGGGGGGGGCATACTTGTACTGAATGCCCTCCCCAGGCTCCTGTCGGGGGGGGGGGCATATGCCCCTAATGCCCCCCCCCCCTGGATCCGCCAGTGCCTCTTCGCCAAGCAAGGGCGGATCCAGCCGGCCGTCTTGGGGGGGGGGGGGCAACCGGTTGGGACTAGCCAAACCTAGGGTACCCCCAAATCTAGTTTTCTCACCGGTTTTAGGCCACTTATTTTTCACCCTTCGCCTTTTCATCGAAAAAACGAAACGAAAACATTTGCAAAAAGTGAGATATTTTGTCTCAGCTGAGTCAAGGAACTACCTTTTTGGTAACGTAGAATAAAGGCTTAAATCTTCCACATGAGCTGTCAAGCCAGGTAGAGAGGGGGATTTTTTCTTAAATGTTTTCTTCCCCTTAGTTTTCCTTTGTGACCCACAACCGCTAATTCAGGGAGGGCAAGCTGCCCCGACGGTTCCTAGCTCTATGAAAAGTTGTGGGGCAGCGCCCCCACGGCCCCAGAGTTGTGGGGGCAGGCTGCCCCCTCTGACCCCCAGCTCCCGCGCCCATGACCACAAAGTTCAGGCCCATGGCCCGGCGTCGAGCTCAAATTCAGACTCGGCAATGTTGATGGTGTGTCCGAGTTCAGACAAGCTGAGCTTATGCCGGGTTCAGCTAGGACGATTGAAGAGGTATCCTGTTGGGCTAAATGCCGGACAACCTCAACCTCTAATTTTGCATTTAATGCTTAATTATCCTACTATGTTGAGTGAAAACTACTCATGTGTCATTAATTATAACTTCAAATAGTGGGTTTAGTTAGTGACATATGGTGGAGCATTAGGGGTTTTAGGGGTGCACATGCACCCCCTAACTGTATAAAGCACCTTCTCAAAATGACGCTTGAAACACTTCAAAAACAAGTACAGGTAAGGGGAAATTGTGTCTTCCTCTGTTAACCCTCGCCCGTATAGGGGGGAGGGGTCGAACAGACCCCACCCCCTCGGTTTTTCGCGAATAACTCGCGTAAAAACGGCTAATCGCGACGAAGCTTTCAGTACCCTCGAGTTAATCAATTTTGCATCTACTCTTAAACTTTAATTACCCTGACCGAAGTGACCTTTGACCTGTGACCTATTTCTCGAGACCATGTTTGGCCGGGATCGCGATTCGGCGTATGTTGGCTCGCATTAGCCGCGCGTTTGCAGTCTTTTCGTGGTTTCAAGCGTTCAAACATGTGATATGATGTTGGTTCCATGCATTTGGATGGGTGTGAAGGTCACCTGAAGGTCAGGTCAGGTCATTGACCAATGACCTTTGATGACCTCAGTTCACTTTTTCGAGTTTTACATGTTTCTAGGCTAGTTTTTGGAGCTGAACTCGAATTCAGCAACCATTTGAACATTTACGACGTACTTTTGGTGCCTTCGTAACATGTTACGAAGCTGTCAGAGGCGGTTGACACGTACATACTACGAATACCCGGCAGGACCACTACTGGTTGACCTGACCCGACCTGGCCTAAATGCATGAAGACATCTTCTGGGATCAACACTAACACGATATTCGTGATCAGCACCCCGAAAAAGCTCAGCCACACTTACGACGCTCTAACAGGTCCCAATTTTCCCGACTTTTGGGTCATTGACCTGACCTGGAAGGTCAACCATGAACCAATGACCTAGGACCTTAAATTGGGTATCATCGTCTTCCTCTCGTCACGTTTTTTTTTTTTTCGCAAAGCTCTAGCTCGATCAGCGGCCAAACGGCAATGGGGGCAACGGACCTCCCCCCCCCCCCCCTATACGTTCGCGGCTGACAAAACGCCAATACGGGCGAGGTTTAAATCCATATACATTCAGGCATGAGACAATAAAGCTCCTGGTTAATAGTGTTAATGAACTATGAAGAAGCTTCAGCTATTAAGAAGCTTCTGAAATCTCTCAAGCTGAAGTTGATTATACTCAGTGTTGTTATGATCATTCCTCAGTTTTCTGACAAGAATCACACATTTGGCCATGGCAAACGTTAGAAATACCTTTTTCTTTAAAAAAAGTGCCTAATGACAATCTTATTCTCCAACAAATTTGCAATTAAAACCAACCAGTACACAATACAGAACACGTGCCTATGAATGCGAATAAAAATGTGATATCATGTCGATTTCTCCTACATGTTAACCCTCGCCGGCACGGGCCATTTTGACTCTGGTTGGCAGAGTTTTTCACGTTTGCCCCAAGGTCACTCAATCATCAAAGCAATATTTCAGTTTTTCAGCATAGGAACTTTGAGAATGTTTATTTTTTAGTTTTCTTGACTTTTGTCTGGGGGGTGGGGGAGCCAAAAGATAGTATGGCCCCCCTTTGACCGTCTTGGGGGGGGGGGGCATGGCCCCGTTGGCCCCCCCCCCTTGGATCCGCCCTTGTCGCCAAGTTAAGACCATGCCAATCTCGGCCAGTCTGCCGCCGCGCCGGCACTGGCCGTGGTGTGACGTCATCCGGCCGGCTGGGCGCTGGGTAGTTCCACATTTCAGCTCGAACGCTCGGCTACACAACACGCACCCGCCCCAGTCTCCGTTACATTTGCAACGGTTCGGTGGCGCGACGGTAGATCGGTGGAGTTCTGGTAGGTGGGTTGTGTGTTCGAACCGTAGCGGGGCTACGTTTTCAAAAACACACATGCAAACATAATGCGAAATTGCGACACATGCATGATGTGCCTAGCGCAAAATGTTCATTGATCATTTTCAATTTTGTCATGTACTCTACTGCATAAGCATTGAGCAGTTTCAGTCCCATTTGAATCTCTGCCTTTTTTAGATTATGATAGCTAGGATATTTGATATTACCTACCCAACGGACGGTGCTATTGACACTAGGCACTGTGCCATAGGCGGCGGAACGGGGAGGGCACCGGGGCACCGAACCCCGTTTGATTTTGGCATTTTAACGTTAGCCCTATGGGCGTTGCATGGAAAGAATGGGACCCAAAGTCGGCAGTGCCTTCCCTTAATTGAAGTTGTTGCGCCGCTACTGCTCTGTGCGTGTGTTGCAGCCACCCTGTCGGTATGTCTGCGATGTAGGCACTCAGTGTGCACTCTGTGTGTGTTGCAGGCACTCCGCAGCGGACCATTATAGTGAGCGGCTCTCCGGCGGCTGCCGGCGGCTCTGGCCGGCTGGTGGTGCTGGGCGGACCACGCGCCGCGGCGCCCACTCAGGTACGGCCGCTCAGCGAGCCAGCCAGCGCGCTCAGCCACCGGCACCGAGCGTCCAGCGCACCGACCGCTGCACTGGGGCACCTCTTCTCTGTCAACTATGTGCGACGATCTAGGCTTGGCAGAGCGCTGTTTGACGTGAAGGTGGATTTGGTGTTTCAGGATGAGCCGTCCTCGTGAGCTGTGCTGCTGGTGAACACCGTGCGCGCGTACTGCCACACCATCGCTCGGTAGGTGGGACGGCAGGGACAAAGGTACCTTAGGTAAGTCACCTTCAAAGGTACTGTAAATTGTCAGAATCGGCTCCAACTAGCCCCAAAAGTTTTGCCTTCAATGACCTCGGTGACTTGACCTTTGACCTGACCAAAACAATGACTGGAGTGATTTTGTCATTATTTTTGGCGCTCTTTCGAACGCAGCCTTTCGCGTATCGCTACGTGCCCCAGGAGCCGAGTTAGAAGGGGAGTTCAACCCCCCAGCAGGGCGTGGAAATCCAGGATCCCCCGCGGGGCGCGGGTTAATGGCTGGCAAAGCGCACCAAGTGGAAAGATTGAAGCCAACAGTTGTATTAGGCATTGGCGATTGTCAGGTGCTATTGCATTACAGATACTATCTCTCTGCAGAATTTCAACACTGTGGACAAATTGGCTCAACAAATGAAAGAAAACAGCATAGATTTATTTACCAGTAAAACGCCTTCTGTGGCGACCAACGGAGCAAGCGAGAAGGATGTAACGGAAGTTAGCCCACATTCAGCCCACATTCGGCCCAGCCCAGATTGGGGCTGCCAAATCTAGGGAAAAATCTAGAAATCTAGGGAAAAATCTAAAAACCGTTTTACGCCTAAACGGCTGGACGAAACTGAAAAATAAGACCACCATTTGAAAGATCTCTTCACCCCAGACCTAATGATATGGTTAAATACCGGATCAATTTAACCAAAACCATGATTTAACCAGGATGAAAATTTTCGGTCAATGGGGCGGCCCCTACGATTTTCTTCAAAATCGGCATGGTGATACTACAGGCCCAGATGACCAATCTGGCTGAAGAAACCCCTATGGGCATTGAAATCTATGGGGTAAAAACGCCCTTGGAAAGTTTTACCCACGCATTTCTGGCAAGACTATCGCACGCATCCCCCCAATATGGGTATCATATGAAAGCCCATGAAAACCCAAACAAAATGGTGGGGTAAAATTTACCCATTACCCCATCCAGGGTAAAGTTTACCCAAGATGAAAATTTTCGGTCAATGGGGCGGCCCCTACGATTTTCTTCAAAATCGGCATGGTGATACTACAGGCCGAGATGATCAATCTGGCTGAAGAAACCCCTATGGGCATTGAAATCTATGGGGTAAAAACGCCCTTGGAAAGTTTTACCCACGCATTTCTGGCAAGACTATCGCACGCATCCCCCCAATATGGGTATCATATGAAAGCCCATTAAAACCCAAACAAAATGGTGGGGTAAAATTTACCCATTACCCCATCCAGGGTAAAGTTTACCCAAGATGAAAATTTTCGGCCAATTGGGCGGCCCCTACGATTTTCTTCAAAATCGGCATGGTGATACTACAGGCCGAGATGATCAATCTGGCTGAAGAAACCCCTATGGGCATTGACATCTACGGGGTTAAAACGCCCTTGGAAAGTTTTACCCACGCATTTCTGGCAAGACTATCGCACGCATCCCCCCAATATGGGTATCATATGAAAGCCCATGAAAACCCAAACAAAATGGTGGGGTAAAATTTACCCATTACCCCATCCAGGGTAAAGTTTACCCAAGATGAAAATTTTCGGTCAATGGGGCGGCCCCTACGATTTTCTTCAAAATCGGCATGGTGATACTACAGGCCCAGATGACCAATCTGGCTGAAGAAACCCCTATGGGCATTGAAATCTATGGGGTAAAAACGCCCTTGGAAAGTTTTACCCACGCATTTCTGGCAAGACTATCGCACGCATCCCCCCAATATGGGTATCATATGAAAGCCCATGAAAACCCAAACAAAATGGTGGGGTAAAATTTACCCATTACCCCATCCAGGGTAAAGTTTACCCAAGATGAAAATTTTCGGTCAATGGGGCGGCCCCTACGATTTTCTTCAAAATCGGCATGGTGATACTACAGGCCGAGATGATCAATCTGGCTGAAGAAACCCCTATGGGCATTGAAATCTATGGGGTAAAAACGCCCTTGGAAAGTTTTACCCACGCATTTCTGGCAAGACTATCGCACGCATCCCCCCAATATGGGTATCATATGAAAGCCCATGAAAACCCAAACAAAATGGTGGGGTAAAATTTACCCATTACCCCATCCAGGGTAAAGTTTACCCAAGATGAAAATTTTCGGTCAATGGGGCGGCCCCTACGATTTTCTTCAAAATCGGCATGGTGATACTACAGGCCGAGATGATCAATCTGGCTGAAGAAACCCCTATGGGCATTGAAATCTATGGGGTAAAAACGCCCTTGGAAAGTTTTACCCACGCATTTCTGGCAAGACTATCGCACGCATCCCCCCAATATGGGTATCATATGAAAGCCCATGAAAACCCAAACAAAATGGTGGGGTAAAATTTACCCATTACCCCATCCAGGGTAAAGTTTACCCAAGATGAAAATTTTCGGCCAATGGGGCGGCCCCTACGATTTTCTTCAAAATCGGCATGGTGATACTACAGGCCGAGATGATCAATCTGGCTGAAGAAACCCCTATGGGCATTGAAATCTATGGGGTAAAAACGCCCTTGAAAAGTTTTACCCACGCATTTCTGGCAAGACTATCGCACGCATCCCCCCAATATGGGTATCATATGAAAGCCCATGAAAACCCAAACAAAATGGTGGGGTAAAATTTACCCATTACCCCATCCAGGGTAAAGTTTACCCAAGATGAAAATTTTCGGCCAACGGGGCGGCCCCTACGATTTTCTTCAAAATCGGCATGGTGATACTACAGGCCGAGATGATCAATCTGGCTGAAGAAACCCTTATGGGCATTGAAATCTATGGGGTAAAAACGCCCTTGGAAAGTTTTACCCACGCATTTCTGGCAAGACTATCGCACGCATCCCCCAATATGGGTATCATATGAAAGCCCATGAAAACCCAAACAAAATGGTGGGGTAAAATTTACCCATTACCCCATCCAGGGTAAAGTTTACCCAAGATGAAAATTTTCGGCCAATGGGGCGGCCCCTACGATTTTCTTCAAAATCGGCATGGTGATACTACAGGCCGAGATGATCAATCTGGCTGAAGAAACCCCTATGGGCATTGAAATATATGGGATAAAAACGCCCTTGGAAAAATTACCCACGCATTTCTGGCAAGACTATCGCACGCATCCCCCCAATATGGGTATCATATGAAAGCCCATGAAAACCCAAACAAAATGGTGGTGTAAAACTTACCCATTACCCCATCCAGGGTAAAGTTTACCCAAGATGAGAATTTTCGGTCAATGGGGCGGCCCCTACGATTTTCTTCAAAATCGGCATGGTGTTACTCAAGGCCGAGATGATCAATCTGGCTGAAGAAACCCCTATGGGCATTGAAATATATGGGGTAAAAATGCCCTTGGAAAGTTTTACCCACGCATTTCTGGCAAGACTATCGCACGCATCCCCCCAATATGGGTATCATATGAAAGGCCATGAAAACCCAAACAAAATGGTGGTGTAAAATTTACCCATTACCCCATCCAGGGTAAAGTTTACCCAAGATGAAAATTTTCGGTCAATAGGGCGGCCCCTACGATTTTCTTCAAAATCGGCATGGTGATACTACAGGCCCAGATGACCAATCTGGCTGAAGAAACCCCTATGGGCATTGAAATCTATGGGGTAAAAACGCCCTTGGAAAGTTTTACCCACGCATTTCTGGCAAGACTATCGCACGCATCCCCCCAATATGGGTATCATATGAAAGCCCATGAAAACCCAAACAAAATGGTGGGGTAAAATTTACCCATTACCCCATCCAGGGTAAAGTTTACCCAAGATGAAAATTTTCGGCCAATGGGGCGGCCCCTACGATTTTCTTCAAAATCGGCATGGTGATACTACGGGCCGAGATGATCAATCTGGCTGAAGAAACCCCTATGGGCATTGAAATCCATGGGGTAAAAACGCCCTTGGAAAAATTACCCACGCATTTCTGGCAAGACTATCGCACGCATCCCCCCAATATGGGTATCATATGAAAGCCCATGAAAACCCAAACAAAATGGTGGTGTAAAACTTACCCATTACCCCATCCAGGGTAAAGTTTACCCAAGATGAGAATTTTCGGTCAATGGGGCGGCCCCTACGATTTTCTTCAAAATCGGCATGGTGATACTCAAGGCCGAGATGATCAATCTGGCTGAAGAAACCCCTATGGGCATTGAAATATATGGGGTAAAAATGCCCTTGGAAAGTTTTACCCACGCATTTCTGGCAAGACTATCGCACGCATCCCCCCAATATGGGTATCATATGAAAGCCCATGAAAACCCAAACAAAATGGTGGGGTAAAATTTACCCATTTACCCATCCAGGGTAAAGTTTACCCAAGATGAAAATTTTCGGCCAATTGGGCGGCCCCTACGATTTTCTTCAAAATCGGCATGGTGATACTACAGGCCGAGATGATCAATCTGGCTGAAGAAACCCCTATGGGCATTGAAATCTACGGGGTAAAAACGCCCTTGGAAAGTTTTACCCACGCATTTCTGGCAAGACTATCGCACGCATCCCCCCAATATGGGTATCATATGAAAGCCCATGAAAACCCAAACAAAATGGTGGGGTAAAATTTACCCATTACCCCATCCAGGGTAAAGTTTACCCAAGATGAAAATTTTCGGTCAATTGGGCGGCCCATCTGGGCCTGTAGTATCACCATGCCGATTTTGAAGAAAATCGTAGGGGCCGCCCCATTGACCGAAAATTTTCATCTTGGGTAAACTTTACCCTGGATGGGGTAATTGGTAAATTTTACCCCACCATTTTGTTTGGGTTTTCATGGGCTTTCATATGATACCCATATTGGGGGGATGCGTGCGATAGTCTTGCCAGAAATGCGTGGGTAAAACTTTCCAAGGGCGTTTTTACCCCATAGATTTCAATGCCCATAGGGGTTTCTTCAGCCAGATTGGTCATCTGGGCCTGTAGTATCACCATGCCGATTTTGAAGAAAATCGTAGGAGCCGCCCCATTGACCGAAAATTTTCA